TAAATCATTATAACACAATCAGAATCCAGCTTTATACGTTAAAAGAAATATTTTTTTTTTTAGTCTGATCTAAAATTCTGACGTTATATAGTTCAAAAAACAAAGAATTAGAAGTTTAATCTTTTACCACAATATTTAAAATAATAACTTGCATCTTCTACAAAAAATTTATACATAAACAAGTTATACAAGTACTATTATAAAATAGCCTTAAGTTACAAAAGAAACTAAACTGACACGAGGCTATCCTGACATATCTCAAATAAAGTGCATCAAGCAGTTTTCGTTTGCATTAATTATTTAAGAAATTTCCTGTCCATGGCTTGACCTTTTTTACGATATTTTTTTTTTATATTACATCCTGCAATATACAAGACAATAAAATCGTCTTAAAGTCGTCTTTGAAAAAAAAAAATTCGTTTGTGTTAGCGCGTCTTCGGCTCACAAGACAGTCAATAGTATATACATATAGTATACGTCATAGTTAATTACTGATATGATATAATAAAAACTCATGCATTTATATAATTTCCATGATCTTGATAAGAGTTAATTAAGTTAGTGTAGCGAACGGTAAATTTTACTTATGCATGAAATTTTAAATCTCTTAAAGTCATAGGGTAAACAAGCCCAATTTCGATCATTGAGTTGCTATTAATATATAACTCCTGGTAATAGAATTCTGTAGATACTATTTACATCCACCCAAATGTATATTCTTTTTCCTCTTTTCTACGTTATTACATTTTACACAAAAAAATTCTGATCTTATTGGCGTAAAATTATTTACTTACATACATCAACACATACATCACACACCGGAAAACCGAATTTTTTTTAAATGTAAGTGAATGAATTCTTTTTTGTGTAAGACTTTATGGCAAGTTTTCTGATCTTCATTGATTAGAGTTTCTAATGCAAAAAACCATCAAACAAAAAAATTGGTTTTTGGAAAATGGCAAGATCAAAATAAGACCGGAAAAAAATAACACAAAATTTTGATTCTAAGTTGTTTGTATTTAAATAAGAGTCATTGATAAGAGTGATCTAGAAACAAACAAAAATAATTTAAGTTAGTCAAAACTTATCGATTTGAACCTGAAATTTCCAACGGTATAAATACAACCTACATTCAAATCTATCTACATAATTTGTTTTTTCAGTTTAAAAACATTTCTTAACAGAAAGCTATAAAATTCGATCAAATTCTAAATTTCTTTTATTAAAATATCCTGCAATAACAATGAAAACTAAGGGTCGAAAATTTTCTAAGATTTATCATTCTACAATTAATGAAATATATATACAGTAAGAAATAGTAAAATTAAATTTTTTCCAGCAAAAACAAACAAAAACGCATTGTTGAAGTTGGATACGGAAATTCTAGGATGTAACTAATTAAACGCATACACACATGCAAACAAATACATGCACGCACAAACAAATAGATCCTGTTACTGCAGTACCCGACTTTGATTATATAAATTCGGAAAACAAGTTCAAATCATGTTCTTTGAGGAGATGGTTTTTTCTTTTTTGTAAAGTTTCTGGTACAAAAAGCAATAAAATATCCGGATACATAATGTGAAGCCCCTAGAGTAAGTAAGGCATGAGTTAACCAATTTTTTGCATTAAATAATCGATGCTTCTGCAGGAATTATAAAAAACTTTTTTTTTAAACCATAGACTCTTCATCTCTCTACGTGTGTGCAACGAAAAAAAAGACAAAATGCATTATATATGTTTCTATAGGTGCAGGCTTATGACACCCACCTCTTTTTCTGTTATAAAACAAAGCATGACCTCATGAGCTTTACTACTTTAAAAAATTGTCAAATATATTGATGGTTGACTGCTTGGCATGATATAAATTTATGTTAATCGAAACTTCTCTGTAACTGATTAGAAAAATTTTAATTTGCTCCATATTCAGTGATTTATTCTTAAGAACTCAATAATGCCTTACATAGTTTTAGATAGTATAATCAAATGTAAAATGTACTGTACTTTTGTAAAGTTCAGACTAATTTTACTCGTCAAAGTTTATTTTCAAAAAATAAAAAAGGAATTAAAGGAGTGCGTGATTACTGTTGGCAATGATATTTGTTACCTTTCACAACAATAATTTGTGATTGTTCCACTGTTCCGTAATCGTTCTTAGCATGGCATGAATAATTACCAGCATCTTTTTCAAAAAAATATCTTATAACTAATTTTTGATTGCCGTCTTCAAAAGTATACTGTGATGAACTCTTCAGAGGTACATTATTTTTTGACCACGTAATATTAGGAGTTGGAATCCCCCAGACATGGCATAATAATGTCAGGGGATTCTCAAAATCCCTTGCCATCACTGTTCTCTCTGTAGTGTTCAAATTTACAAGGGTAAAAGTAGGTGGATCTATCCAACACAATAACCATAAACGGAGAAAAATAGTTGAGATTTATAAATCATAATGTACATGATAACTGTTTCTCATTCTTACCATTGATGTTAAGAAAGTATGACTCTGTAAGTATTTTGCGCGAAGGATATCCAACATATCCGTAGTATCTGTTTGTTCCTTTGCAATAGTACTTTCTTCTATCTGATTGACTGGCGTTATTGATCGTGAGAATGGCTTGGTAAGTAAATTCAGTTACCTTCGATGTAACGTGTATTCTTTCTATGTGTATTAGAAAACATGTTTAATTGGTCAAACTATACTAAAAAACTTAAATCATAACACTTGAAAAATAAGTTTCGAACTAACCGGAGCTCACTACCACTTGACGATTATCATCATACCACTCGACGATGGAGAAATCATTAATTACAGCAGCACATATTAAAGAAATATTGTCACCTTTCTGAAAACTTCTATTTGGTTGTATGATTCCAAAAGATGCATTAGCTACCCCATCTAAAGAAAAAAAAATATCCATACAATAGTAACTCACAAAAGAAAGTAAAAGATGGATAAAAATCCAAGTTGAACAATGGATATTATTTAGATCCATGTACCTGTTAATTGAATTTCCTTTGACGCAGAGGCACACCCATAGATATTGCAAGCCTTGCATTTTATTGTACCAGATGTTACTAACTGTTTCAGTTCTACTGTTGACTTTTGTTTAAAATTGCTATTTTGCACATCTGTTTTTATTCTCTGGAAAAATGAATTTACGTTCAGAAAATGTTATTTCTACCATTACATTCAAACAATAGTCTAAATCTTCAAATTTAGATGAACAAACTATTTTTTATAGTAACCAACCAACCTGTAAGTTATGTAGTTTATTGTAAATTAACGTTTCCGTTACGATCCACGATATATTCGACTCAGGATAACGATTGGCAAGGCAAACAAACTTGGCAGTTTTATTAAAACTGTAGTAAGATTGAAGGTAAGTTTTGTCAAACTCGACCGCTGGCTTACCTGCAAGAAAAAAAATCAAATGCTTGACATAAAGTTCCAGAACAAAAAAACGACGTACACATTTAGAATTTCATGGTGATGAAAAAAAAAAAAAAAATTTAATTGTGAATTCGCAAAGTTTCAGTCACAAGTCTACCAACAAATTTTGAGTTTTTTACTTTACTGAGCAAAAACTTAATTTCTGTATAAGCTCTGCGATTTTTAAATAGAATCAGTCATTAACAGGTAAGAGTTGAAAACCTTAAATGTCATTTTACCACTTTTAAAGAGTTTCGTAGTCATAATGCTTACAAAAATAGAACTATTTTATCTAAATTGGTAGATCGAAAGTACTAATTTTGAACCCAAGCAAGTATACAGTGACTAACATTCATTTAATGTAAAATGTCGAAGATATACTAAAAATTATTATTATTTCATATTTTGTTTATTCAAAAATTATGCATTTGCAGTCCATTATTCTTCTGAATGTTTTATGTATTATTTTTTATGAATAGGCTACTCAGTTTTGGACGAATGGGCTTGCTAGGTCTTGTTTGTCTCTTTCAGTAACTTATGCGAAAAAAGCTGATCTGAACTTAAATTAACTTCTAATTTGGAATTTTAATGAATTATAAGTGTAGACAGTTGCAACTTTATTGAAATAAAAGTATACACATAAGTATGATACATAATTTTTAACACAGTGTTGCAGTTGCATGTATTAAAAATATATTTGTAAATTGATGCATCTTTATATTAAGTATAAAAGTGGAAGCAACATTTGTGACTGATACAGTCTACGATGCTCATTCATGTGCGTTATAATAACTTTTTCTCAAGGCCACTAAACTATAATTAGAAAGTGCCCATTTTTTTTAAAAAATGTAAAAGTACGTAAGAAATGGTTTCTTATTACTAATGTCAGTAATTAAATATTATCATGTGTTGGTAAATAAAATAAGCTAGTGACAGGTCTAAATGAAAGGCGATGTTTTTTTCCTTGTAGTCGGAGCACATATAAAATAAAAATTTACCCCTTGCAACTCAAAATTAGTACGAGATCATTAATGCTCAGGAGCAGCAAGTGTAAAGTTCAAATAACAATTTTACCACTGCCTATAGACTACTTTTAGTTTTGATAATATTGAACTAAAAATACTCAAAACAAAACTGTATGATTAAACTGTAAAAAATAATTCACTCCCTGATATTTTTTAATATTCTGTCTCGTTCCGTTCAAAATATGTATGTTACGAAAGTATCTAACATTTTTTATGTACCATAAACTTCAAGATAAAATTTCAACTCCTTTACTATTTTATCATGTTTAGCTCTAAGCGTAAAAGTTCCCGTGGCATATTTATCGATGTTTGATAGAGTCAATCGGCTCATCGTTCCGTAATAGGACATTATTACTTTCCACGAGTGGGGACGAATTATATAACCTTGAGGGTGAGTCCTTAAATGGAAAATAATGTTTAATAGTACTAAAATGAAATAAATAAATTAATGTTCACTAAAGCACTACTAAGGATTAAACATATTACCACTCCAAAGTTGGTATTGGACATGCATCAACAAAAGCCAAAAAAGTCACTGATTTACCATCCTCTGAAACTACATATAGATTGTCGGAAGTAAGATTGATGTATGGTTTGTTAGTATCTACAAATTCAAATTTACAGAATTTTATTTTTCACATAGTACTGTGAAGGAAAGATAATAATAATAATGATAACAATAATAATAAACGAAAAAAAATTTATCAATCACTCACCAAACACGCAAACGTAAGTATCGCGACTCTTTTCTTCATCAAACGAAGATCTTATTTTACAAGAGTAGTTACCTCTATCATCGTAAGTAACATTGTCAATAATAAGCTCAGACGTTACGAGATTGACTAAATTATGAATTCCTTTTTCTTCTACTCGAACGGTATTTGAAACTTTTCTAGAAGTCTTATAAGCACACGTTTTTCATTAATTGAACATCACATTAAAAATATCTAACTATTAATATTTTAAGACATAAAACAAAAACTGTTTATTAAATTCTAGCTGTGTTCAATTTACCACTTTGTCTGGAATCTTCCAGGAGATAGTGTAAAAGGATTCTCTTCTTATTTGAACTTTGCATGTAAGATTCAATCTCGATCCTGTTGATACAGATTTTTCACCGTCTATTCTTAAGATACTTATACATGGAAAGAAGGTAGTAGTATGAGCTTTTATTTTTATTGTATGTGAAAAGTTTTTATTTTCAACAGTACAAGTATATACACTGGTCGTATCCCAATTTGCTCCTTTAATGACAAAACCAGTTTTGGAGTCGAAAGTGATCTTTTCGCTCAGTCCGAAAACCTAAGAAAATCAAAAATATTGGAGATTTTGCGTAGTTTTCTATATAAGTTTTTATCATGCATGAAGTATGTTTTACATGTCCCCTTTTTCGAAGAGTCACTTTAAATTTAGGGGATGTCGTTTGACATGGTAAGATAAGGTGTTGAGAACATCCCGAAGCCAGTAAATAATAATTATCATCCTCATTTGTACGTACAAATGAACTTCTATTGGCTGCACATGGAAATAGACCGTTTTTTAATAAGCGTTATATTCAGTATTATTAAAGTTTTTATATAAAATTTAGTTTACAAAAAGAAAAATCCGAAATGCCCATCACTCTTACATTTTACATAAACGTACACCCAACTGATACTTAGGTCGCTGTAGTTTTTGTACGTCAAACTTGTTATTTGTTTGCTTTCATCAGCACAACCATACCAGCCAGTATCTCCAAAAACGGTTGATAATCTTATGAATGTCTTGTGGGTACTCCTGACTTCTGGTGTTATAAGAGGCTTAGAGGTGGTCTTTTTTTTTAAATGCAAAAATTAGTGGTTATTATTTGTTGAAGTATTTTTTTTCTACAACCCATCAAATATGAAATGGTAGAGTCATTTAACTTACCCTTCCCCTTTTGTCACTGGTAGGGAAATAAAAATTAACATAGCTATTGCTTGTGCACGTAATGTTTAGGAGTTCTCCTTCATTTATTTCTAACTCAGTCACATTTGGATACAGTTGAGGCTTAAGTCCATGGCAGCCTAAAAATTTTGAATTTATATCCATGTTAAAAAAGTAAGAAATCTTGTCTCGATTTGGCTCTATGAGAAAACTTACATACTATTTAGTAAAACACGGAAATTCTAATAGTTATTTACGTAACAAGTACGGAAAAGACAATTTTCCGCATGAGTCGTGATTGACTCGCACGATTTGCCGGAGTTGACGGGAACGAGTGCGAGTTTATCACATGATAGTGGATAATCGTCCCGCATGAGTTGCGTACAAGTTTTTTCGCAATAAGTGTCCGGAAAATAGGTGTTTTTCTCACACTTGTTGCGAGAAAAAAACAAACAGTCCTTAATTAAGGGAGAAGGAGGCTAATAGGTATGTTTGTAGCACTGAGCCTCCTAAAATAGTAAAATTAATTATTCTCATGCAAACTAAGCTTCTAGCGGTACTGCCGTTCCAGAGAGTATCATGTTTCAACAGAACAGTAGGAGTAACTTCTTATTCATCGGCTATTGAAAGTATGGGAATAAATTCTCAACCTTTTGATAACTTCAATGTAAGAAGTTCAATGTCATCTACACTGTTAAGTGTGGTAGTAAACTAAGTACTATTCTAACAAAATCTTATTATTTAGTATAATAACTGTTGAAATATATTAGAGAATTAATGATAAAATATGAAATAAGGAATACTCCATAACAGTTTTTTCCTAATCTTATTATAAGAAATATTTCGTTTGAGTACAAGTAATGTGTACATGCTTTCTTCGATTATTTAAAATAATATTGCTTACGAATGATACACATTTCTAACTTTAAATATAAAGTTTGATTGTAAAATAGAGTTATTAATAGAACAAAGTGCATCATTTAACTAATCTGAAGAAAAAAAAATATACAATAGTTAAGGTATCTGAGATTAAATCTTAAATTAAGCGTTCTTAATCTTACTTATAAGGGTACTTGTTAAAAACAAAATGTTAAAAAACTATACAACAATACATGTATTTCATAAATCTCTAAAATTAATGTTCTCACTCTCTCATTGGCACAAAAACTTTTTGTTAATAGCAGTTATTAACAAAATATATATTATTGGCACACCGTATCAAAAATTTAAATTTAAATTTCTATCAATCGGCAGACTCTGTTAGTCAGTCAACATAATCAAGAGAATCAGTAAACTTTATGATTTTTGTATGTTGATGAATACTTAGGAGTGATCAACTACATCACAATTTTATAATAATTTTCAAACGAAGTAAAACCCTCAACTAAAATATTTAATTCAGGAGTACATCAGGCCAGTTACTAGTTTTTAAATAAGTTTTATTACATGGCACTATAATGTTTTTTTTTATACGGAAGATTTATAACATTCTGCACAACTAGTAGATTAGGCTTCACAACAGCACAACAAACCAATAATAAAGATGATAGTTTAGTGTGTTTCAACAAAATTTTTTAAATAAATTTAGTAATAGTCTTGCTTCAAAATTATCTTGTTCTGTTATATATTGTCTTTATTTTGTCTCATAGTTCATAGAAAAAAGAATCAAGTTATACCTACATAATTTTGACGATAGAAAAAAATGGTAATAAGTATTGATAAACAAGATGATATCAATATAACTCTTGACTCTTTTAAGGCCCTAGTAATACAGTAGTGAAATCGTAACTTTTCATTAAATGAAAAAACGTATAATCCAAAATAAATAACATTTAAGGAAACATAACTGAGACTAATTTATAAAATTTATGATCTCTCAAATTTTTTTACATAATTTTTTAAAAACACTTATTATTGATGAGCTTAAATTTATTGAGAAAGAATTAAAAAACAACTCTTTGTACGTACCGTTGGTTAGCTAATCTAATAAAGATGAGCTGTAAATCAAATGACAATTCTTTGTTAATAACTGCTTGAGTATGAGCAACTACAGCATGATTTTATAATTATTTTTGAACGGAAGAATGTACTTGATTATAACATTTAATCAAACAGTATATCTTCTAAATTACAAACATTTGAAAAGGTTTTTTTCTTTACAGCATTACAAAAGATTTTTCTAATCATTACAAATTTGAAAAAAGTCTACATAGCTACTAATAAGATTGTATCGAATTGCACTTAATTCAGATTTAGAAGTAAATGGAGAAGTTAGGTTTTCCATTAACCACAGATCCCTTTAGTTATAATTTTAGCTTTGTTTAAATACGGGCCAATAAAAAATTTTCAAAAAGCCACTTTCTAACTAATTAAAGTTATCTGATTGCTCAAACATTTGAGGTATCTTCAGAGGGTAGCATAAATTTTTTATTCGCTCTACTTAGCTGTATAATTTTGTACGTACGTTCTTAAAAAGTAATGTGAGAAAGACATACAAGATATGTAAGGTTTTTGAAAATGTACTATAAGCTTTTGTTAAAAAGAGGCCGTTATTTGTTACCATCGGTCCAAAGAACAACTGCCGCTTTGTGCCCTCGGGCCACAATTTACGCCCTCGTTACCACTTTGGACCTTACGGCAAAAAGTTTTTTGCACCCTCTGGGCCCAAGCACTTCTCTAACTAGGGCCAAAAATGTGCCCACGGGCGCAAAATTGCACTTTGCACCCTCGATAAGGAAAACAAAATACACGACTGGGGCACCAACATACAACGACCGCACCCTTCGAGTGCTCAAATGTTTGTGATTTATGCCCTAGTGAGGTAATGTACCATTCAGTTTCTACAAAAACTATGATAAAAAAAATTCACTGCGCATAGCTTCACCAACAACTTAACTTTGCAATACTCGCTAAAGCTTCTTTACGTGTACATTAATGATTATTTTTTGGTTTCCGATCTCATCATTGATTTGTAAGTGGAAACAACCTTTCGAACTTTGATCATTGAGCATACGTATTATTGTTTTTAGTTTAATTTTTTTGAATTTATAAATAGGCCAAATAAAAGAGAGAACCGTGGCACCTGTAGAGTCCTAACTCTCTTTTTTTGTATTTCAGCACTACCTCGTCAATTAGTTAAATTAATCGATCTCTAAAACTATGGTGCGAGAAGAATAAATCATTTAATGAGACCAAAAATCTTAGATGGTGCACTGGTAGATACCCTACTTTTTGCAGTTACAATCAATGATTTTAATTTTTGTTTTCACATTGTGCTGTTCATACAACTAGAGCGTTAGTTATAAATTAAAAGCGTGTATTTTTATGCGTACATACCTGAAAGGGCAATAAAGAAACACAGTAGCTCTAACCACTGAAAAAAAGTCGTCGGATCCTTCCAACCTCGAGTGTTCGACATCTTTAACTGTAGGTACGTTCGAGTAGTTGCAAATAAAGTAAATAATTAAGGCAAAAAAAATGTAGACTTTAGCTCAATTATTTTTAAAAGTCAATCGATGCAAGTAATGTCTGAAAAATCCACGACTAGTAGATATACCGCTTATTGAAGTAGAGCCTTTGTACCTCGCTTCAGTGGTCAAACGTAAAATGGAGAAGCCTTACACTTATTTGACAGAGATAGAAGATGACTTCGTCTTGTCACCTGCTACGCACAGGTGTGTGCTAATGATTTGTTAAACAGCAATTAACCTAATTCCCGCTTTTAATCACCTGTCTTTGTCCTAATTTAAAACTTTTTTCGAAGCCACCCCCCCCCTCCGCCGACTGTTTCTAAGCTAGACCTTTTCGTTACTTCGAATTTAAATAATTGTCTATCTATTCGTTATGGCATCAGTCATAATTTTTTAGTACTTTTGTTCGAATTTTGAATTACCTAACCAATATAATAAAAAAATTAAAGATTTTTGCAGATGATAAATCTTTCCCTACTATTCAAAATTAACAATGTTCAGGGTGAAGATTTAACAACCACAGATTAGCAGTATTTGAAAAAATTCAAACACTTTTGACTTTTGTACTTCAATTCTAATTAAAATTATTTAATCGATTGATACCTTTACATGAATTATTACGTTTGACTATTTTTTTTGTACAAGCTTCCAAACGACTTGTAACATTCAAGTGTTGTCCCAGATAAATCATAATTTAAAACTCCTTTGCCAGTGCAGCAATATACATTAGATCTGCATTTTTGTAAACTGTTTTTACAGCTGCAGTTGTGACAGATTTTATTTCAGAAGATACAGGGTTTCTAATACAGCTCTTGAATTGTTCTAATTGCTTATTATAATTTTTTATCTTTGCGCAAAAAAAAACATATTGCACGTTGATGTATAAATTACGTTAAAATAATTTCTTTAATATACCTGTTTACAATTTCTGCCCTTATTTTTTTCCTCGAAAATTCTAACCTCTTATCATCTAGAAGGGGTTATGCTTGATGGTTTGCTGTCAATTTCAAATTCAATAAATTGAGAATCCCATCCTCAAACGAAGTAGGACCAGTATCTAATATTAGTTCTTCTTTAAACTTTAAAAGATTATTTATTTGAAAATGTAATTTGCTTATTATTATCAAATTTTTCTTTTTAACTATACTTTTTTTTATTATTGCATCTTGTTATTAACCTTTCTATGTTGTACTTTTAAAGAAAAATCATAGTTAATTGATATAATAAAAGTTCTTTTTTCTGCTATATAAACATTCAATTATGTACAAATTGCTTGTCCTTAAAGATACAAAGATGAATTTTTATTAAAAAATCCAGCTACACATTTAAAAAAAAAGTATTCTTTTATAATGTCAGTTAGAACTTTAAAGACATGTGGTTAGAAAAAAAAAATTAACTGTACTATTTTTTTTTACAGTATTCAAAATAGTAACCTAAAACTTCTGTAACGTCCAGATGTAATGTATTTACACATACGCGCATGCAAACAAACACATGTACAAACACACTCATACCTATATAATTGCCAGTGTACACTACT